GATTCGTTTAACTATTATACGTGATGTACGTTTTTGGAGGGTGGTTAATGAAAATGTTCCAAAATGCGACATTAATTTCTTGACGACCTAATATGAACCTAATATGTTTCTGTCACGTGTACATCAAAAGGTATTATGGTTTAAAGCTGCACAAGGGCTTTATGAACATCTTGTGTTTCCTAACATTTTCTGATATAATTTGCAATATTCACGGAAACATTTTTTTTTCTCGATCTTTAACTAGAGTTTCTAAAGAATAAATTAATTTCATTATGAAATTTGTTAGTAAGCCTAACAACCTTCGAATGCAATTTGAAAAGCTGCATTTAAAAATAAATCATATTATCACGAAGACAAACCGAAAATATAGATTAATCTTAAATCAGTGAAATAAAGCGAAGGAATCTGATGAAGTCATTTTCCCCTTTAATAAAAGAAATTGTTATATTTGTAAGAAATGATGTCACATATAGTAAATACATTACAGGCTCTACTAAGGATAAAATATATTTTTTATACACTTTAGATTGAGCTGTAATTCATATAATGTTATTTATATATTATTTTGTATTTGTTGTAAGCAAATACGTGTTGGAGAAACAGGAGATTTATGTATAAGAATAAATGTACATAAAAGTCACGTGAAAAATGCTAAATAATTACCCATTACCCGCTAACAAACACATAAGTATATTATGGAAAAATATCATACTTACAAAAACTTTTTTTTTCAAATATTTCCTTTTGGTAATAATTATTTTATGACAGTTATTTTATTAATAAATTAAAAATTACATTAAATGCTACACAGTTTAACACAAAGAGAAAATATAAAACATATATAAAGCTTCTTACTATAAAGATGATCCATTGTTTGTGTGTTAGCATCCATCATCGAGAGTTAGCTGGCTGGATTACCGTAATGGTAACTGGAAAATCTCCGACGGTGTACATGGATTATTTTGTTTGAGGATTTTTGTCTAAGAAGGGAGATAAAAAACAATGAAATATGGCACATTTCCACTTTTTATAGACTTTTGTGTTTAACTTTAAAAACACAAGTACATAATCATATAAATGAGACAATTATTATCTGCCACAAAGCAAGGTATGCAGTTAGCATTTAATGAGGACATTATGGATTTCATAATAAAAAAGACGAAGGAAAGGTAACATTGTTCTTTATAAAAGTTTTGCTTCCTTAATGGGTACCCTCAGTTAGATAAGGGAAAAAACGTGGGAAATATTTTCATGTTTACATAGTTGTTATCAGAAAGTGTCTTACTTTGGAAACTGGAGAGTATTATTGAAGATACGAAACCGACATTTATGCTTTTATGAATGTGTGTGTGTTGTTATTTGTTTGTTTGAAATTAATAAGACTAAAGAGTGTTTTTGGAATCTAACACTTTTAGTTTGTTTCATTATATCAAACACCTTCATGAACAAAAAAAAATACTTGGTTTCGGATATATATATATGATGAAATAAAACAGATGTTTTGTGTTGCTGTTCAGATAACAATAGATATTTTCTATTGTATCTAGGTAAACAGGGTTACTTTTCACAGTGCTACCTATACTGTATTAGTAATT